TTGATGATGTATTTTAAATTGTCTATTTTTTCATATTAGACTCTTAGAAATCTGAATCCATGGTAAGATGTGCTTCACATGCTCCTATTTTACTTCCTTAATGATAATCAGCACAAAAAAAGACACACAAAACTGAGTAAATATGAATAGACAGTATCCCTCATAGCAAAAGGCTCAACTTTGCTCCTCAGCCGTGATTAAAATTGAGATAACATTTCTCTCCATATTTATTTTGTTTAGTATCAGTTGTCTTTAAAGATGCAAACACACTCTTCTCCAAAATGAATTATTGGCAAAGCCTCCAGTTGGTGGTGTACAACAGATAAGTGACATTGTACAACGCATCTTTTATTCATTGCTCCATTTAAGTATTGTTGTTTTTTTTTTTTTTTTTTTTTAACATTAATTGTGTTTCAGAACTGGGAAAACAAGGTTGCACACAATAGAACAGTTCTCTACCCTCCGGAAGCTTGTTTTCATTGGTTGTAAAACACAACGAAGAATTCTTGTTGGAGTATTTCATGGTATTTTTTTTTTTTTAATTTCTCTATGACATTTGTAGAACTGTCAAACTTGGAGTAATTATGAAAGAACTTTCTAGAAGGTAAGTTTTGATGTGATAACTAAAAGATGAGACAGAACTGGGCATAAGAAAAGAAAAAAATGAAGGCGGAGAGAGTGGGAGTGGGCTATTTCAAATGGATTAATGCATAAGTCAGGGTATTGTAACCGAGAACTCCCTATATGTCAAATGCCAAAACACTCACATATTTCACAGAGGTTTGTGCTTTGAATTTATTTGTATTTCCTGATTATGCATGTCCTCTAGACAATGCATGCATACTCATGTTTATAGCAGCACAATTCACAATAGCCAACTATGGAAGTAGTCTATGAGTCTATCAACAGATAAAGGGGTAAAGAAAATGGAGTTTTATTCAGCCATACATGAGCTCTTTTGTGTGTTTTCTCTGAAGACAACATTTTCTTCACAGACTCATCCTTTTATGTATGGCTAACATCTAATCTTCCCTTTAGGTTTCAGTTCAATTATCACATACTCTGAAAGGTTTCCCTGACCCTGAAGTTTAAGTGTATATGAGTTTTTTTTTTCCCTTCCAATAGGCATATTTCTGTATTTAATCAATAGAAAGATATGTATAGCTACCTCAACTAAGCAAGGAGGGGTTGATAAGGATGTAAGGACAAGGTCATTAGTTCTGAGAATGCAGAAAGCTTACCAGAAGTTGCGAAGAATTAACAAACGTGCTCATGGGAAATATTCAAATGGAAAATGGTTCATAGTACTGAGTGAGGCTTTATTCAAGAGTTTTAAAAGAGGTGGCAGGAGATGCTGATTTTCTATTTCCTGGGATTTAACAGCTTTTCTAGTGACCAGATTGTGGTCAAGAGTAGATTGAGAGAAGAGTATTTATGGCAGGTTATGCAGTAAGGAGACATTGTAGTGATGATATGTTTGGGGGACAGGAGTTGAAGTGAGAAGCTATAAGCAGAAAAGAGGCTGCCTGGTTCTCTGTCTTCAACATGGTTACTTCACTGGGCAGGTTCTCTGTTCCTTGGTTAGTCAAGAGCAAAAGTGGAAGAAGAGCAGCCAGGTAGAAAACTTGGAGATCCTTCACCTGATGACCATGGCAACCAATCCAGAATGGCCCCGATACCAAGACTTTGTCTAGAAAACCTAACTTGGCCCTTGGAAAACGCATTGAATTATGTGTGACAATCTGTCCTAAATCAAAATGCATCCAAGGTAGAGAGGGACCGATAACTTTCCTGAAGTCATAAAAGTAGTTAATGTTGTAACTTTGATAAACAAAACAAAACAAACAAACAAACAAAACAACTCAGGCAGACTGGATCTGAATCCAAGATTTTAAACTTCCCAAATTCAATCAAGCAATAAGGGAACCTAGGAGTATTTGGGAATAATGAAGACGTATATGTAAGACCATTCAATATGTGAATTAATTTTTTATGAAAACGATATTATGTCCAGACCAATGCTTCTGAACGGGGGGTAATTTTCACAATTTTTCCAAGGAAAAATTTGGAATGATTGGATACCTTTCTGTTTCCACACTGGAAGCAAGAAATTCATACAAGCCTAGTGTCATAGAGGGTAGGGAAGTTGCAGAAGATTCTAAACTACATGGAAGTGTATCCCTAACAAAGAATTGTCCAACCCAAAATTCCTAGAGTCCTACTATTGAAACATTCTGCTCTAGACTTTATAGGAATTCTTTCCATAATTCTGAATCTCAGGTTCCTCATTTGTTTCAAAGAGGATTCATATCTGCACATAAGCTATGACAATCAACATAAGGTACATTGTGAAATGCAGAGTAGTTCCTGTACCTGGGTAAGAGGTTTAACATTCTAGCATCAAACAGGCAAATTTCATGTTTGTCTTGTTTGATTTTTAATGTGATTTTAAAGATCACTTTGATGGAAATGACAAACAGATGGGCTGGTAAAATTTCAAGGTGTGGGGGGGGGCAAACAATTAGGCATATGATACAGTCACCTAGGATAGAAATAATGTACATCTGATTCTGGGCCAGTGGAAGAAGAATCAGACTCCTCCTAACATTACTGGTTCACACACACTGATTTAAACTACAAAGGATTTTTTTTTGGAGGGGGTCCCTTTTTATTTTGTTTGTTTTACTTTTGCCATTTCATCTATCATTATGAACCTGAGGATAATGCAAATTTAATCTTTCCTCACAAATAACAGTGTTTTCTTTCTTATTTGTAAAAACATTTTAATCTATGAAATGAATTATATGTTCACAAATCAGACTGTCTGTCATCTTCAGGTAAGCTGTGTGCACGCACACACATAAATCCAATTTGGAGTTGTGAATTATTATTTGAGAGGTGTAGGTTTCACATGAGAAATTTCATCATCTGAAATTGCATTGTCATTGAGGATAATAAGAATTAAATTCAGCTACTGAAAGGAACAAAGACAAATATTGAAAGATGGGAGACTTCTCTAATCCACTGCAGAACTGTTGAGTCTTCTGTGAGATTAAGCTGAGATGCCATTTGCAGAAATCACTAACTGTTTCAGTTTATTAAAAGATTAAGAGTAAATCTATTTGGGTAATGTGTGGTTTGCAAGACAAGAAATTTTTTCAAAATCAATGCTTCTGCTTTTCCATTTCCTCTCAACCCACTGAGAGGTAAATCACGGGAATAGCTCTGATCACACTAAGGGGACCTTCTGATCTTCATTAGTGAACGGTCGATGCATGAAATTTTATTTCACATCAAAATCTGGAGAAAGTTTCCCCCAGAATTAAAACCCTCTTCTGTTTGGACATATAAAGCCACAGGGTTTTATAAATCCCCATAATTAATATACAACTGTGCTCACAACTCTCAAAATAGGGCTTTGGAAATTGCAAATCGAAGCTGCCTGTTTGAAAATTGACAAACTGCGATCTCTCCCTGATTTCTCTCTTTTTTTTTTCTCCCTCTTTCTGTTGGATTAAGAAGAAGTGAGATGTGAGATGATAAAATGAAATGTCAGAAAACAGATTACTTTTGTGTAGTCTTTAATATATAGTAACTCCTTTATATACAACACTATATGCCTGAAATGAAAAATGAATTGTTTCCCAGTGATTTTGTTTATGCGGTTATTAATGAAATTGTTAGTTCCATTTATTTATTTTTCTTTCTGTCAGTAAAGTGTTTTGTCATTATTTATGGAAATCACTGTACTGGATACATGATGCCCAATTTTCTTTCTAGGAACTCAAGATCTTGAGGGGAAACAGGCAAAGAAACATAAACATGCAATAAGTATATGATAAGTAACAGGATTAAAGTAAAAAACTTGAAACTAAACAGTAATGAGTGGAGGACTTCAGCCCACCTTATTGCTGAGTGTCTTTGAGAAAGGCAGAGGAATAAAATGGCCAGCTTTGTATTGGGTGCAGTAGAAAAATATGCAATAATTCTGTGACTAGACTCCTTTTATGCTTTAAATAGGGAAGAAGAAAAATTCAAATAGGGTCAGACTTTTCATTCCATTCCTTGAGTTCATATACTTTCATTTCAAGAAGCAACAAGCTGTCAATCAAAAGCAATGATGCTTGAGTGCTTCTCTGTCTGTTTTTGTGGTTGCATGGTGTCATTGACTGTCTTGTTTTAATGGTGATTTCAGGGTAGTCTTGCCTTGCTCTTGTTCCACCATGGCTACATGGTGACCTGTTGGAGGACTGTTCACATTCTGTGAGAGCTCTTTATGTTCAGTGGGAATACTGCTGACCTGCCAACTCCTAGCTGTCAGCAATCAGCTGCCAGCCATCAGGCCCACGTTTAACAATTTATTTTCTCAATAAACTACATGTAATTGAATTTTTCCCACATAAAAAGATCTTTACATTGTTCCCAGTTTTATTTTTGGCTCTTAATTGCAAAGAATGCTGCAGTAAACAGAGATATAATCCCCTACAAATATATATATATATATATATAAAGTTTATTCACAATAGTCACACACACATATATGTATGTGTATTAAATAGAATATTTATTCTAATTTAAAAATATATTTTGTGTCTTTGTAGACAAAATAAAGTGAAATTGCAGTTTATTGTGCATGTGTGCATATATCATCAAAAATGGAACTTCTCAGTAATAAGGAAATTATATGTTAAAAGTATTAGATGCTGATAAATTTCTATTGAACATGTAAGAACCAATATTTAATACTTAAACTCCTTTCAGAATTATAAGACAGCTCATGTCACCTGATATTTGCCCAAATAAGGAATAATGGTAATCTTTTTGTTTGCCAGACTAATAGTGTATGTGTATAAAATCATTGTTTTCATTGATTTTCCCATTAGAATATTTCTTTTTACTGAATTCTCTATTCCTTTATCAAAATTTTTACTGATTAGTTTTATTCTTACTAATTTTTATATGATTCTTTTTTACTTTTTTTCTCTTTTTAAAAAATTTTCCCCAGAAAGCGTGAAAGCAGTCCCCTATTACCACAAATTATTCCGAGTTTCTCACCCTTGAGAACCGCAGGGGTAGCCTATCTGGAGAGCAATGGACACGCCTTGCCCAGGGAAAATCATATTCGTGATCATGGTATCTCCCCTGCCAGGTAAGTATATAGTCCTTATATTTTATTGAACCAAATGAATTATTAGAGCCAGATGTGGTAGCACATGTCTGTAATCCCAGCAGCTCAGGAGGCTGAGGCAGGAGGATTGCAATTTCAAGGCCAGACTCAGCAATTTAGGGAAGCACTAAGCAACATAGCAAGACCCTGTCTCAAAGCAAAACAATAAGAAAAAGGGCTGGGGGGTGTTAATTCAGTGGTCAAGTACCCATGGGTTCAATCCTAACAATAATAATAATAATAATAATAATAATAATAATAATAATAATAATAATAATAATTTATTATTAATAGTAGCTAATATCACCAGTTAGGATATTTGTTCCTTATCTGTAAGGCTAACTTATGTTGTCACAGAAATGTTTGATGATGATGTGGATGGAAAATCACAAGGTGTAAAGAATGTGTAAATTATTAACAAGATTGTTAAGGGTCATACATGGAATATTTACATGCAGAAAGAGAAAGTAAAGGATTACGGATATAACTTAGTGGTAGAGTACTTGCCTGGCAAGTGCAAGACAATCAGTTCAATCTCCTTTACTGAAGAAACACAGAGGACAAGGGAAGGGGAAAGAAAGATTCTTTGTGTGTCTTGAAGTTTACCAGATAAAAGTTGCTGTATGATCTTACACTTAGCATTTGCCAATGATTGTTTGCATGTTTCTTTTAATATTGCTACTGACTTATCTATACTACAACAGGAATAGCTCGAGATTAAAAGAATATATTCTAGGGGCTGGGGATATTTCTCAGCTGGTAGAGCACTTGCCTTGCACTTATGAGGCACTGGGTTCTATCGTAAGCACCATGTAAAATAAATAAACAAAATAAAGTTATAAAAAAGAATATATTCTAACTAAAAACAATATACTCTGTATTCTTCACAAAAGAAGTTGCAGTGTAGTTTGTATTTTTCAGTTGTAAACATGAAGTAGACATTGAATGGGCTATTGAAGAGATAAGAATTGTTGAAATAACAATGCCTCTTATTTGAAATTCTTTTGGAAAATATTTCCTTTCCCATTAATCACTTCACAGTGGACAGAGAAATAATTTCCTATGTACATCTGTTTCATTTGGAGGTAACTGACCTACAACTTAAGAGGAAGACTGTTCCTATCTTGAAACCTGTCATTATCAGCTCCGTAACCTTGACCAAGGTAAATAACTTTTGAGAACTCAATTTCCTCATCCACAGCACATAGGAAGCTATACTGGTGTAGAACCAGTAACCAGTGTTTACATGGCAGGGCAAGGAGCATTTACATTGAGTATTTTTAGGAAGAAGGTAAAACTGATATCCGACTATTGTGAATAAACTTAGATCATCTCACATAGGTGGCTTAAACTTTGTTTATTTTTCTGGTCTTCCTTACAATAGATTGAGAAAAGCTGGAGAGAGGAGAACCTTGTTCTATATTTCGTAAGAACTGCCTTTGTGATCTACTCTTTAACATCTTGAACAAAATCATCTGTTTCACTGAGAAATTTTATTTTAAGAAATATTAAATGCTTTCTTACTAATACATTTCTTTGTGTGGTTGTTCTTCTGTCCCCTTTTTCCTTATTTGCAAAAGTCAAGTATTATTCAGGCATCCTGTGCCTTCCCCTTCTCCCAGAGAAGGTAATTGAACTCACCTTTAATTAAGAACCTTGTAACACTTCTACAGCAATCATGGCAGGCACTTCCTCTTTGTTAGTAGGATTGACCATGAAGTCTAGTGTTGACCATTGAGACAAGGATTAGGCCCATATGTGTGCTTATAGTAAAGGGTTTTGTTTATTTATTTTTTCTCAAAAACAGACACAAGACAAAGGGCATTGCTCTTCTCCTCTAGGTCATTGCCATGTTGGATGTGAGACAAGAAGCACTGCAGCCAACTGGTTACTGTAGGGAACGCCAGTCAGGGAAGAAAGTCCACATTTTTAGGCAAAAATTCATGAATTCTTGAAAATATACATGAGGGAACTGATAATGTATCCCAGGCTTTTCTTCTTTAGAGATATTATTACATGAGTTAATAACTCTTTCCTTTATTATTTGTATCAACTAACTTGGCGATTGTGATACTTGCCATCAGAAACTTTTCAACCACTTACACAATGGATCTTTCACAATATAAGGCTTTCATTCACTCATTTATTCATCCATTCAACAGGTAACTACATCTCTGGAACCATGTTAAGACCTAGATATTCCAATGAGAATAGACATAATGTACAAGGTCACTGCCCCTGTGGGTAATGCAAGATTGGGGCAAATGTTCTTTTGAGATACTTCTGTTAAATCTAATCAAGGATGATTGCATGAGTTGATGATAATGTGTAAGAAGTAGAACATGTTCTCTTCTGTCCATGAGATTCAGCATAGGATTCTACCAACAAATACACTTTCCAGACAATAGAGAACCACACAGCAATTGTGACATTTCAGTATCAGGACTCAAAAATGATATGAAATTTCATAATGAAGTGAGGATTTGAAACTTGCTCTATGATCCTTAGACTCATTTTAAAGCACTGTAAACATAAATTATCACAAGTTCATAAGAAACCGCAGTAAGTGATTGTCTCATTCTACTCACATTTCATGTTAAGTTTAGTCCTATTACTTATATTTTTAGATGCCTCTAGGACTAATATTTTTTTTTATTTGCAATATGGGAATGTGGATAAAAAAGAAATGTGTCTGGAAATAAGGATGTAGGAATGCATTGGTATGAAAGGAGACAGAGTAGGGCTACTTTCTTAAGAGTGTCATGCAATTGTATTGTTTAAATCTTCAAAATAGAAATCTGCTTGTTATCCCCAATTTTCAGAGTAGAAAATTGAGACACGAGAAAAATAAATCATAGCCCTTCAGTCTGGGAACTTGAAGTCAGAAAGTTCAGGAGGTGAAATCAAATTTCCTACCCATAACATCAGTCTGATTCAAAATCCCATGTATTGGGATTGTGTGACCATATTGACACATGGGCTCCATTGGAACTTTTCCTTGCTAAGGAAAAGGAAGGAAGGAAGGATATTAGGGAGGGAGATGGGAAGAAAAAGAGAGGGGGAACGGAAGGGGAAAGGTAAAAAAAAAGAAGAGTCAGAAAAGTTTGTATATAAATAAAATCTTCTTTGGAAGTTTTGAGTCAAAATCCCAAACTAAAATCCCTACCAGGTAGAGGAAGGAATGTGAAATTTTAGTCAAATCTACAAAACAGTGAATAAATGCCTTGGCTAACTGGGGAACATTTTTGCCATGGAGAAATGAGACCTCGCTGTTGTCAAATTTTAACTTTGGAAAGGGAAGCCAAAAATCAAGGCTTTTATGTGATATTGATAGACAAGGAATTCATGATTATAGGACTGTCCCAAGCCAAAAAAAAAAAAAAATTCCACTGAATTCTGAAAGAACCACTGAAAAATACACACAGCCAAGAATTTTTGACAAGCAAAAGTATTACATATAAGCAATTGCAAGCTATTCATAAAACATTTTAAAAATATGTTCAAAAGTTTCATTGATTGCCATATAGCTGTATGCAAATTATTGTTGATTTAATTTTTGCTGCTATACACAATTAAATTAAATATCTTATGAATTCATATCAGTGCTATCAGAAAGTCCTTGCTGGCGGGCCTCTAAGAACATACTTACTAACTACTCACAGATAAGAACAGCTTTGTAAAAATTTTAGACTCTGGGGATAAGGCCGAAACATTCCTTTGGAATTCACTCAGTAACCAAAAAAAGCTGTCACTCAATCCTAAGGCTGAACAGCACCAAACAGAGAACAATTCCCAGGACTTTTAGATTTTCCAATTGGAATAAAAGAGCAAAGAATGACACACAACTTGCCCAGCAGTAGGGGAATTCTTTAAAAACCAACTTGTGTCTCATCCCACAGGGAACACTTGTAGAATTGATGGGAAAACTTTCCATTTTCCAGCAAATATTTGTGATAAGTTCATTTTAGATAGTTTTTATTAGAATTTAAATATTCTCTTCTAAGTTACTGTGAAATCTCATTTTTATCATAAATGTATGAAAGGTAATTTTTAAAATAATGTACTTATATAATTAATTAGGTAATATATAACTTTAATCTGTTACTATTAATTACATTGAATGATTTTCTAATGTAAACAAGTCTTTCATTCTTAAGGAAAACAAACTAGATCATGATAATTAACTGATTTTATATGTTACTGGATTAAGATTGCTAATTATTTTCCGAGGGGTGGGTACTAGAGATTGATGTCAGGGGCACTCAACCATTGAGCCACATACCCAGCCCTATTTTGTATTTTATTTAGAGACAGGGTCTCACTGAGTTGCTTAGCACCTCATTCTTATTTAGATCTCACGATCCTCCTGCCTCAGACTCCCAAGCCACTGGGATTACTGGTGTGCACCACCACGTCCAGCTAGATTGCTAATATTTAAGTTAGGATACTCATATCAATAATATTCAGTGTGACCAGTCTATTGTTAATTATCTTTGTTTTGATATTCAAAATTTTGCTGTCTTTATGAAATGAGTTAAGGAGTGTTTCATTTATTAGTGTCTAGGAAATTTTATGTAAGATTGAAATGATTCATTTCTTAAATATTTGGTAGAATTCGTCACTGAGGAATGAGAGGACTGAAGTTTTCTTTGAATCAGTTCTCAAAACTTTTTTAAAATTCCTTATTTTTTTTTAATAAAGCTCTACAAGTGTTTCTCTTTCTCCTTGAAACTGTGTATATGCAATGTGTTTATTTCATCTATATTTTCAAATTAATCAACTTAAAATTATTATTGTGTTAATCGTAAGTATTAAATGTAGCATCTTCAGGGATGGCTGCTTTTCATGGATTTTTATTTTAAATTATTGTGGAATTTTATTGCAGAATTATTCGTATTATTAGTCTTTTCGAAACTAACCAAGTAACCAGCCCAATTTAAGTTGTAATGATGTATAATTTGTTATATGTTTTGCTTTCTATGTTATTTCT